GAGTTCAAATCCTCCCTTAACTATGAAAGCCAGCTGGGTGACCTAGGGTTGTCATTATGGAGAAAATAGGAAGAGGAAGGAGTATTGTGTATATTCACCGCCTTGACTTATTTATAAAAATAATAAAGAATATTGGATAATAAAGAAAGAAATAATTATTATGTAGGATCATAAAGTAGGTTATTTTATTCCTCCACCTAGAATAATTCTATAAACACATTACTTTTATTTAAGATAAAAAAATTGGGATTTACTCACAAATTCTTACCAAGATTTTTCTCAGGGCCATGACAAAGGAAGGCTGGTTTTTTCGTCCATGCCTGTTGTGATCCCATGCTTGTTAAATGCTGCTTGGCCCACCCTGTGATGCAGGAGTTTTTGTAGAGGAGAAGATTTGAGAGAAAGGAAGTATTTTGTAGATCTAGAAGACTAATAGAATAGAGCTTATTATCCAATCTGTAGATCACTTAAAACGAAGTGTCTGTGTGTGTAAAAGACCTTTGTCCTTTGCTTAAGAACAGAAAATAGCCTCTAGACAAGTAATCTTACAGTTATAGCCAGAATAGTGATTACATGTCCTACTCTTTGCTTCGAAGGATAGAAATAACTTGTGCACACAAGGCTTCTGTTATACAATTGCAGTGCCTTATTTCCAGCATTTTAGGTGAAATCCATATGATACCAAGAAAGTCCAGTTGCCTCTTGAAAAAAAAGCACCTTGACCTGGATGACTGAGAATCTCCATAGACATATGATATCAACTTCCATTTCTAATTCTTTCTGCCTTTTTTTACTATCTCTTACATCTCTGCTCTTTCCAAAGAAAACAAAGAAAAAGAGAAATATCTCTGCAATATCTTTTGGTTAATAATACTGTACTTCAAGACCTCCATCTGGAAGTATCAAAGGAAGCTGGGCTTTGGGACTTCAACTGTGGTGTTATGTTAAGGACTCACAATACAACCTTCTTCAGACAGCAAGCGAGAATTGTTAAAATCCAACAAGAATTGCTTTTCAGTGGACTTCCGGGTTGCTGTTTGTCGCTGCCAGACGTTCCTTTGGGATCGTCAGCTTCCATCGCCTTCACAACGGAATGGCGGCTCGAAAAAACTCCGTTTCCATGAGGAAACGGAGATAGAGCCGGCAGGGGTGGGTAGAACTCTCTGCGGAGTCCCAAAAGTTTTTTTTTTACTTTTGGGACGGAGCGGATGAGATGCCCCGTATCCCCAGCCGCCGCTCCGGGCTTTGGGAGACCTCTGCTGATGCAGAGCCAGGCGTCAAAAGCAAGCCTGCAAATTTAACAGACTACTCAAAGAAAATGTGAGCTGGACCTGTAATATTGAACCGCAAGTATTTTACTGATTTTTTAAAAAGAAATTACTTAAGAGAGAGGAGGAGAGGAAAGAGGGGGAAAAAAAAGCCTTTTAAAATGGCGTTGGCTGGAGGAGAGGCTGAAAGGGAAAGTCCTTCCGTTTTCTATTACTACAATGTAGCGGAATAAATACCACTGGCTACATTTGTAGACAAAACTTCGCTCCTGTGTCTTTTTCTCTTTTTTTTTCCCTTGGAGACCTGATATTGTTGCTGATTGGAAAGAAGTCCTTTTTTTTTTTTTCTTGCTTTTTTTTTAACAAAGCCTGCCTGGGCGGAAACATGGCACTGAGACTCATAAAGTCAGATAAACAAGAAGGGGGGGGGATCCCCCCACCAACAACTTAAAGGAACAAGTCTTAATTCTTCAGTCTCAGAAACCTGATTTTAATATAATAGAATTTTTTATAGAGGAGATTGAAAGAAGGGAGGAGATTGTGAATCAGCAATTTGAAAAATTTAAGCAGGAAATTAAAGAATTGGTGAAATCTAAGTTTGATTTTTTGGAGAAAAAATTCTCAAAAGTGGTTAATGGTTTTACAGGATTTATGATGCAGTTGGACACAAATACTAATGTACTAGAGTCTAAAATGGAAGAAATTCAAGATAAATTGGACAATAGAATTCAAAAAATTGAAAATGATTTGACAAACACTCAGGATAATAGCTTAGAAGAAAAACCTAAAATGGATGCTGATCAAAAGTATGGTAATGCAGAAAATCTGCAACAGAAGATTGAAAAAGAGATTTTAATGGTACAATATAATTTCACAGAATATGCGATAAGATTAAGAGGTTTGCAGGAAAATAATAGAGATGATTTAAGGAAAATATCTTCTGAATTTCTAGCTGGGATTCTAAAGGTTCAACCTGACGAAGTGTTTTGTAGGATCGACAGAGCTTATCGAATCAACTCCTGGATTGCTAAGCAAAGGCAATTGCCTAGAGATGTGGTGATTTATTTTACAGATAAGGAAATTAGGAATAATATCGTTCAAAATTCCTTCAATTCTAATTTGCAATTGTATGGAAGAAAGATTTGGATTTACAAGGAACTCCCACCTAAGATATTGATGGAAAGGAAGAAATTTGGTTTTCTGGTGAATGAGTTAAAAAAGAGAAATATCTCCTACAGGTGGGACGCCCCAGTTGGCATTATATTTAGATACCAAGGAGAAAGATATCAGCTAAATACTGTTGAAAGAGCGGAAGAATTTTATCAAAATAGGTTGAAAATGAACTTAACATCTCCAGGTATAATACAGGATAAGCAGAAGGAGCCGGAAATAAAGGTAAAATATCGAATTACAGAGACTGTACCAGATGAATTGCCTTTGGATTTATTGGATACCCCAGCTGGACTATCTACAAATTTGAGAGAAGAGGCATCTAATTTTAATGTGATGACTTATCAAGGCAAGGATAAACATGGAAACCAATTAGGGGATATACAAGGGATAAAAAAGAAATATGAGATACAAAAGTAAAACCAACAAGACCAATCTACAAAGCAGAATAAAAACCGACCAGATGATACATATTTTGTAGAAAGGGAACCAGGATGGAAACCAAACCCACAAAAAGAAAAGAAAAAAAGAAATAGGTGGCATAGAAATAGAAATTTCTAAATCAGGCAACAGTGAAGCCAGTGATTTTAAAATATGAACGATTATGTGTAAATACAGAAGAGGCGACGTATTGGTTAATATCATCCTGAGGTTTGTGGCAGATCTCTGCATGGCCGTAATCTGGGGACGTGAAACGAGCCTTAAACTGATGGATTTGAATTATCCATTTTGGAATTTCTTTTTGTGTTGATAAACATATTATATTATCTTGAATCACAAGGCAAGAGAATTATGCTGGGGCATGCAGAAGATCGGGTTGTTACCCACTACGATGATGGGAATTAATAATCCTGATGAAACCCACAATTATTACTATATGGAATATAATTATAATGTCACTCGGGTGGTTGTTTTTACTTTTATACATATAAGAAGATATTTACTACTGATGGGGGCAGATATGATTGAAGATCCTGAATAAACTGTTGCACCAGTAAGCTATGTTACCCGATTATGGATGTTGGTTCTACCAATCCAGTGGAAAGACCTCAAAGAAGATACTATATGGATTATAAATTTAAAGTCATTGTCTTTTCTTTTTTTTTATTTAGATATAATGGAAAATATAGACATATATTTTTAAGTAGTGTGGGCAGTGAATCAAAGATGTTAAGAAATGTTGTGTATGGTAATTTTGCATGATAGTGGGTGAATAAGCTAGTTAGTAGATTGATTAGTCTAAGAAAAGGGATTTTTAAGTGATATATTTAGGGGAGTGGAGGAAATGGATAGAGTGGAATAAATGTTAAACTAGATTTTATGGGGAAGGCCGCTTTGAAATGTTATAGTAATATATATAGAAGATTAAATGTTAAAGTAGGACTTATTGTATAGTTTTAAAGTGGAGAAGTTATTCTATAATGTCATAGTATAATGTCTTTTTTTTTTCCCTTTCTTTTCTCTTTTCTGAAATGTATGGATAAAGGGGGATGTTATAATATTAATAATATTTTTAGTAAGTAAAGGTCAATATCTAGAGGAGGGAGTAAGTAATCTGTTATGAATTAGGTTTTTTTTTTTTTGTTATGAAGAAGTCACGGGGGGATGGGTGGGGAGGGGGGGTTAGGGAGGGGGAGGGAGAGGGGAAAAAAAAGGGGGAAAAATTTGTATTTGAAAACTTTTTCAATAAAAAAAAAAAAAGAATTGCTTTTCAGTGTTGCATCTTCTAAATTTCTGTTGGGAATGAAAACTTATCCCAATGGATTAATGAAGTTGGAGAGAATATTTAGTGTCTATTTGAATAAGAGTGTCTATTTTGGACATGTGATGCAACACCCAGAAAAATACAGCATCCTTCACTTAATCCTCCAGGGAAAAATTGAAGGCAAACGAGGCCCAGGCAGAAGAAGAACATCATGGCTTCAAAACCTAAGGGACTGGTTTGGACAAAACTCAGCAGCACTTTTTCATATGGCTGTTGACAAAAATAGGATTGCCAACATGATCTCCAACGTCCGATGACAGACATGACACAAGAAGAAGAAGAATTTGAATAAAGGCAAAGGCCCTGCTTTCAGTCTTCTCAAAATTTAAGTAATGGGAAAGTTTTCCAGATGTTTCTAACTTTTTAAATTTTGGTACTAGCACGACTGAACGCTCTATATTTGAGACAGCCCATGAATTTGGACTATGTTTGTAATTCTCACTGAACAAATCAGCCAGCATACTGACCCACAAGGAGGCTTTCTTGAGCTTTGATTATGAATCAAGGTATTCACAAAGAAATGTAATACTAGGACAGAGGTTAAGGTGAAAGTTTGGAGTCCAGGATAAGGATATTGTCCTGCCTGCAAATGAACAATAAATGATGCTCCCATTTAGTCCAGGCCAAGTACCCAAAGTTTTGGAATTTTAATACATGAAAAAATTTACAAGCAGCTTTGTTCATGTAGTAAAAAATACAACAGGGTGGATAATCGCCTCTCAGGGTAGCCTTATTGCCCACTTAATGATAAAACTTGGATTAATTTAAAAAAAAGTAAAAAATTACTTTCAAAGAAGTGACAAACTCATAGTATTTTTATTTTCTTATACATTTTATATTTTCTTTCCTTGCCAAAAATAACCGCTGAGTGGATGATCTCTGAAGTGGCCATAATATAGCCTTAAGTATGCCATAGTTAAAATAGGGATTTCCCCCCCAAGTTCAACACTTCCAAAGACATCCTCAGAGTGTGTAAAATCCATTCAACCTTATCATCTGCCTTGGAGGGAACTCAGGTGACTGAAGAGCACTGAAACAAAGGCAAGAAAAGCAGAGGATGGATCATCAACAGGGACAGCAAACTTTTGGGAAGAACAGCTGATAATTAAATAGAACCAGGAAAAAGGAGAGAAGCCATTGATAGTCTAGCTAGCTACATAGTAAACTGAGAAAGTAACTGAATAACAGAGTTGGAAGGGACTTTAGAGGTCTTCTAGTCCAACCCCCTGCAGACGACCTTATACCATTCCAGACAAATAGCTATCCAATCTCTTCTTAAAAACCTCCAGGGATGGAGCATCCACAACTTCTGAAGACTTATTGTTTAATGGCAATGATTATTACATACACGTCCTGTATTGCTCTCAAAATTCTCTCTATAGAAAACCAGCAGATGCAAATTTTGAATCTATGTCCTTTTTTTCTTCTTCTTGCAACCCAGCAGTTGCAAATTTTGTTAGAAATGCCTGTCCTCTTTTGTCCTCCCCCTTTTGGGTGACCTAGATCCTATTTTTATTTTTCAGTCCAGGCATCAAACTGTACTTTTCTTTCCAAGTGGCATCTTAACATGGGTAGGAGCGAAAGAGATATATTCTTCTGCAATTGCTATTCACTCCAATAAGCACTGCCTTCTCCTGATGATCTACACACTACAAATAACTAAGCAAAGAGGAAACTGCCCCAGATCCCCCGCCTCTCTCCCCTCTGTCCCACTTTTCTAGTTTTCAAACCTGAAAAAAATAAAATAAATATATCTTGTGACCAGAGAAGGATATCCATACTGCGTTCAGAAATATCCCCCTTTTGTTACTCCTGGATACAGATGGTTCCAAGGGGCTGGAAAGCTTTCCAGCTGCTCTTCCACAGGCGGACATTTGCTTGGCATTGTATTTAATGAGCTGCTGTTATTGCCTCGCCGTTGAATAAGAGAGTCCCATCCTCCCTCCGACTCCTCCATCTTTCTCGCCCCCCTCCCCCTTCTTTCTTGCTGGGCTGGAAAAGCAGGAGAAAAAGCGGCAGAATCTGTTCGCCACAAAACAATAAGAAGGGTTGCACCGTGACCGTCTTACTAATTTTATTATTTTTTTTTTTAGCTCCAACCCGACGCCAACTGGAGACCTGTGACCGCAGCGCACAGCTGAGATGATATTTCGCTTGGTTATGAATTATCTTTGGGAAAAAGAGAAAGCAGCAAAGAGAGAGAGAGAGAGAGAGAGAGAATAATAATAATAAAGGCACCCCATAGGAAACAAATGTCGACGAATGCAAACAGAGAGAGACGCGTGGGGGGGGGGGGGGAGATTATCTGAGGCAGAGGCACTCAGATCCCGGGTTTGATTGAGGTCGCGAACAAAACGCCCAGAAAGGCGCACACGTACACGTTTGTGCGTGAAAGTGATGCTTATTAAAATGACATTGAGGGCACCTCGTTATATTATGCGCTGCTTGCAGAGGGATGTGACTATTTTGAGAGTGTCTCTTTTTTTCCCGAAGTAGCGTGAACAATTTAAATACCTTTATTATCTGCATCTTTACCTGGGACCTCAATAGCGGTCTGGATGAAGACACTCTTAACACCGAAATCTTCAAGGGGTCTATTAAGAAAAACGCCAGTTGTGAGCGCTTGTAATGGGCTTTTAGTCTCACACTTTCCAGCACTTTTTCCTCCTGTGAATTTCTTTAAAAGCTTTGAAATACCCTCCCTGTCTTCCTATCCAAGACTTACTTACTTACTTACTTTTCTTTCTTTCTTTCTTTCTTTCCTTTCTTCCTTCCTTCCTTCCTTTCTAAGACTTTTCTTTCTTTCCTTTCTTTCTAAGACTTCTTTCTTTCTTTTTCTTTCTCTTCCTTTCTTCCTTCCTTTTTCTTTCCTTTCCTTTCTTTCTCTTTCTTTCCTTTTTCTTTCTCCTTCCTTCCTTCCTTTTCCTTCCTTCCCTTCCCCTCCCCTCCCCTCCTTTCCTTTCCTTTCCTTTCCTTCCTTCTCTTTCTTTCGAGTCATATTGCCGGCTATACCTTTACAGGGGGGTATCTCTATTACAGATGTTCCATTATATCGTTCTTAAATTATCGGGCATTATCTGACGCGTTCGCACCTCTGCTGTTCCATTGGACCAGGGAACCTTTCCTTAACGTGAATTTGGCACTGGCCCGCCAGGACCATCTCCTAGTGGCGAGGGAGCCTTTTTCGTATCTTTCTTAATCGCAGGGAGTGCGTGTGTGTGTCTGCGGATCGAGGAGGAGAGGGCACCGGTTGATCCCCAATGTGTGTGTGTGTGTGTGTGTGTGTGTGTGTGTGTGTGTTGGGGCGGTGGGAGGTGGCGGCAAAGACTGGCTAAGCAAGTAACAATGAGGGGGGGGGAGAGATGTGTGAGTGCGTGTGGTACTTCCTGTGGTATATTTATGGCCAGGGCTTCGATTTCCGGTAGCTGATACGGGCTCTCTCCCCGGTGTCTCACCCAGCGTTTAATAATATCGCCGAAAAAGGAGGCGGGGAGCTGTCGGCGAACACACACAAACACACGGGTGGGGTGGGGGGGAGTGAGGAGGAGGAGGAGGAGGAAGGCGGGGAGCTGCCAATGAGCGGGGATGAAACCCGCGCTCCTCTCGCCCAGACACAACACTCTTTTTCCTCCCAGCCTAAACAACCTCCGATTTATAAGAAGCTGGCCATGCAATATCGCCAATAGACCACGGTCTCCTCTTTCCTCCTCCTCCCCCTCCCCCGCTTCCCTCAAATATCACGCGGGGACACACATCACATTCCTATGGACAGGCACGTGCAGGTAGGTGGATCTCAGTCCTGTGGGGAGCCGGAGGTCGGGGTGGCGAAGGTCTTGGGGAACCCCCGGGTGGGAGACGGGGGAGTGGGCAGCAGCTTCTGGGGACTTAGGACCCCTGGCTGGGGATAAGAAAGCAAATCTGGCTCTCGTGGGGTGGGGGGTACGTGAAAGGGTGGGAAGGCAGCTCTTGCAAGACGGGATGAAATCGCTTGCGAGTGGAGGCAACTGTTTGTCTTCATCCTTTGGAGACGAGGAAAGGAAGAGAAATAGGGCAGTTATAGAATGGATGGAGGGAACATAGGTAAGAGGCTTCCCCCCCTTTTTTGGGGGGGGGGTAAAAGAAACCCCAACACTTTCTCCTATAGAAGGACCAGTGGAAGAAGCTTTCAGAGCTGCACCACAGACTTAGTGATACTTTTTTTTTAAAAAAAACAGAGTTTGTTTTGCTTGTGTGTGTCTCTCTATGTGTCCCTGCCTATGTAAGTTTATTAGAGCATGAAAGGAATGAGCTGCAGCCCTTTTCCCCCCCTCTCTTCTCCCATCCTTCTTTCCTTCCTTCCTTCCTCTGACTGGATTGGAAGACAAGCTGATTGAAGAAAGGGAGGCATCTTTTGTGGTAGTGCTGATTCAAAGATATGCGAGTTGGTGCCTGTTGAAAAAGAGGGTAGGGCTGAATTTGGACCTGCCTGTCTGCTTGTGGGCGAGGAAATAGAAGGAAGGGTGTTTGGGGTCATAAAAAAAAGGATGACTTGGTTGAATGGAGAGGTTGTTATATGCCCAAGAAGGATACATACACTAGTTGCTTCATGTGGGAAGTAAGAAAGAGGCTTAGGATGTCTAAGGACAGGTGTACCTGTAACAAGGTGTAAATACAACTAATATAGCGAATAGCGTGTCTCAAGCCAAGGCACTATATATATATATATATATATATATATGGCACTATACTACTGTATATATGGAGTGGCAGGGCAGGCATTTTAACATTAGTTCCAAAGAGCCCCATCCCACTGACAGTGGCCCACAGAGAGTCCCATTGAGTTTATTGAAACTCTTACCCAGGTAAATGATCTGGGGACTAAATTTTTTGGATGCCTTTCAGGGCAGATGGAAAAATATTGTATTGTATGCTGGGACAACAAGCAGGAAGATAGTTGGATAGACCTTCCCTCTTTTCTTTCTATGACAGTTTTTGCAATGAAACACGAGACCCTGTGTCTGATTCCTGGAATTTTACTCCGCAAAAAAGTTTTTCTTTAGTTTGACTTTAAAAGGAAAGACAATGAGAGGAAGAAAAAGAATTGAGGGGGGGGGGAGAAAGTTACAAGGAAAAGCTTTCTGCTTTGTTAAGTGAAGGATCTGAGTTGTCAGAGTTTAGAAAGGAGGGTAAATTCCTCTAGCTGCTTGCAAATTCTTACACAACAAGTTCAACAATTATTGTTTTTAACCATAGAAAAGAAAAAAAAGGAGAAGGGGGAAGTATTTATTGTCTGGTAATCTTGTGCACAGGAACTAATGTCTGGTAGTCATATTCATTCATTACAGCCCTCCAAATTGTTTAAACTGATATTCTATTCATGCTTACTTCAATCCAATTGATTGTATTGAATTCAGTGCCTTTATTTCTGGTGATTCGTATGTAGACAGAGATCTAGAAACTTGAAAAGAAGTTAAATCTTTTACCTGCTTTTCTGGCAACAAAAAGGAAAGGTGCACAGTAGCAGTATTTGCATTCATCCCTCAAGAATGCAGAAATGCTGATTGTTTTTTCAGAATGAATTAAAGGTGAAATTCAAGTCACGGTAAGCATGGAAACCTCTATTACAGAGACGTGATTCCAAAATAGGATTCTTTATCCCAAAATTCTTGTTCCCTTTTTTCCCTACTGTTAATAAAGACTTGCAGAACAGCAGTTTGTATAATGGCAATTGCATTGTCTTCAGTAGGATAGTTTAGATTCCCATACGGTTTACTAAGAGAGCCTATGAGCAGAATTTTCATTATTTCATATTCAGGATCTGCATATTCCAGTCACATTCATTAACTCTGAAGTCATCTTTTTTCTTCCACACTGCATTGAGCATCCATCATACATTTTATTAAGTGAAGCTATTACTGTGTTGATGAATTAATTATAATAAGGTGTGTCAGCTAATGTTTCCATTTTTTTTATTGATATTTATATAAATTATGGTATCTGGGTTAAATATTGCTATAAATATAATACCTTATTAAAAAGTAAAAAAAACATTCTTATTTACATCTCGGTGGTAGTTCTGTTGGGTCTATTGAATTACAATGCTATGTGCTATTTAATGCTTGTTCATAGGTTTCACATAAACCTATATTAATATAAGATTCATGCTGAATCAAACCAAATATGCATCTATAACAATGGTTTGTGTTTAGCAATCATCCACATACCTACAGTAAGCCCAAAAGCTGGACAAGAGTTCAGTTACAACTTCCAGCCCATACAGGTAGTCATTGACTTAAAGCTCAAATGAGCCCAAAATTTATGTTACTGAGTGAGACAGTAGTTAAGTGAATTTTGCCCCATTTTACGCTTTTTGTGCCACATTTGTTAAGTGAATTACTTTTCGTTATTAAGGTAGTAACACAATCTGGCTTCCCCATTGGCCTTGCTTGTCAGAAACTTGCAAAAAGTGATCACATGATGACTTGAAATGTCATAAATATGTACCAGTTGCCAAGGATCCAAATCTTAATCACTTGACCATGGGGATGCTGCAATGGTCATAAGTGTGAAAAATGGTCATAAGTCACTTTTTTCAGTGATATTGTAACTTAGAACAGTCACTAAATGAACTGTTGTAAATTGAGGATTACTTGTATTATTACTCAGTTGTTGATTACTCAACAATTGAGAAACCCCGAGGCATATTAAATATAGCTTTTGTGTATAGCAATTTTTAATAGCCCATGAATCAATATATTTTCCAGTCTATGTATGGCCATTAGCAAATACTTTGATCTGAATTTCACATTCAGCTTTACCAAGTGAGTCCAGATGTTCATATTATAGAAATAGCCTTTTTACTTTCTTCCATACCAAGTTTAATTTATAGACATCTTTTCACTCCTATATATTATATATTTGTGATAACCACTCAATAAATATTTCATTTTTTCTTACAGAACATTGTACTATCATTGTATTTTAGGGTTATCAATTTTCTATCCACTTTTTCTCAGATCTTCAGTATTCTCATTTGAGGCATAACTGGACTTGTATACAATATTTTGTGTGTGGCGATACCTAGCTTACACCTTATCTGTTCATAGGGTACTTACATTTCATTCATTTGCCATTTTAATGGTTCTTTCCCAATATAGCATAGTTAAAGTAAAGCTCTTGTTATAGTTTTTATTTCATCTAGTCTAAAAAATTTGGTGTCATCCGCACATGTGGTTCTGTCAATGTTCATCAGTTATTTCAGATCATTTGAGAAAACTTTTCCTGATAGGTCCTTGGCAGATCTCATTGTTTATGCCCTTTCAATGAAACAGTTTATCGGGAGATTTTTTTTTTTTAATGGATCCCTGCTTCCTGTTCTAAAACTCAGCAGTAACATGACTTCTTCTCTTATCCAAAGATTGCTAACTTTGCTGAGAAAGTTTTGGTAAGGGAGTTTCTCAAAATCATCTAAAAGTTTGTTTGTTAACCACACTTGTTTGCTGACACCCTGAAATATTATCTTAGATGATTTACACTTTGCTTTTCACTGACTGACAAAATAAAATACTGAAAGCAATATAAAAAGTTAAAAAACATTAGAATTAATTAGCTAATCAACTAATAGTTAAAAGTCAACTAAATGCCTATGTGCAGATTTTATAAATATTAAGAAAGCAGAGGCTAAATGAGTTCCAGTAAGGTCAATTGCATAGTCTGGAAGCAACATGCAGGATAAGACTTTCTTCCATATACCAGAAAGACAAGGTTTTGACAACCAGTGGACACCATGAAAAGGATCTTTCCTCCGAATATTAATAGTTTCATTCAGAAAAGACAATAACCTAGATCAGTGTTGGCAAACCTTTTTGGCACCAAGTGCTGAAACTGGAGCGTGTGCACATGTGTGTGCCGGAAACCAGAAGAGCAGCCACCCAGGCACATGTACGCGCTGGAAAGACGATCTTCCGGTTTCTGGCACATGCATGCACACCGGCCAGCTGGTCTTCACACGCACCAGAAACCGGATCACCAGGTGGCCGCATGCGCATTCCGAAAACCAGAAGAGCACCGGGCGGCTGGTCTTCCGTTTCTGGCGCTCCCACGCACATGAAAACCAGCTGGCCAGCACCCCGGAACCCGGAAGAGCAATGGTTTGCATGCCCTGAGAGATGGCTCTGCATGCCACTTCCGGCACACGTGCCATAGGTTCACCATCACGTGTTCTGTCCCCCCTTCCCTACACAGGCAAACACACAACCAGGCACGCCTGCCAAGGTTTTATTATGCAATCAGACTAGAATCCCTTGCAGATAAGAGTTTTGGCAGTAAACTGCGAAATGCCTGCCAAGTCAATTTTCACTCACAGTAAGCGAGAGAGAGTTTATCCTCAGTCCGGTCCAGTAGCAAAAAAGTAATCCACGAAGCAAGAGTTAGCCAAAGTCCAATCCAAATACGTACAAGCCAGATTTCAGGTAACGCGATATGACTCTCAGGTTTTTAACTTTGACCATCACAAAGCCTGAAGAGCAATCACACCCACTTTTATTCCTTGTGGGGTGTTGCTCAATGACTCAGCTCAATCTCTGGCCCTCCCACGCCTCTTTCGTTGCTGCGCACGCTTCTCCCTCCGACGCTGCCTGAGATCAAGCCAGGATTCATCATCCTCGCTCCCTATCTGTTGTTGTTCCGATATGCTTTCCTCCTGGCATATCCCAGGCTGTTCCTCTTGGCCTTCGGATGGAACCTGAGGCATTGCCAGAGAGGAGGGTCCTGGAGAGGAAGGGCCTTGTCAGTTCCTCCCATT